ATATCAATATTTTGAAAGTGTATGGTTGAATTTTGGATAAGAGGATCTTAAAAGTTCTTTGAGCAGTCGAACATATATAATGAAGATTCAAATGACGAATTAAAAATAAAACATGTAGAAATGAAAGATATATTATATTAAATTCAAGTTTATATTGATAAAATAACACTTTGACTGGAAAATATAAATATCTTGAATAGGAATCAATGTGCAAAACTTTGAAGAAATATTAATTGTATTATAAAGTATTTCAAAAATTGACTAGTATTAGCAATAGAAATAATAAATTTGGATTATTATTTGTTGAATTGTATATTATAGTGAGTAAAATTTAATTATTAGTGGAAGAATATACATGAGTCAATTGGTATAAAGTAGCAATCTTTCAATTGAAGAACAAAGAAATATTTAAAGAATTTATTTTCGACTTAAAATATTATTACTTTGTAGCAAATGATATTCTTTTCAATAATTTTGCCAAAGAATTTGAAGCTATTATACCTATTATATTTGATGTTGTCACATTTAATAAAATTAAAGATGACAACAAAAACTTATATAAGAAGTTAAACCAAGTGGTTAAAGATGTGTCTATTAAAAAAAATATATTAATAAAACATCTATTACAAAGATGGAGGGATTTACATTTCATAGAAGGTAGAGAATTATATATTATAGAAATTTCAAATGACAATAATAGTTTGTAACTTTTTAAAAAGTTTATACATATGTGCATAATGATATTAAAATTTGACATATACATAGTTTATTCTTTTACTATTATATTCTTCATTATCTATGTAGGTAGAAATGCATGAATAATAATAATAATAATAATAATAATAAAAACAGAAAAAATGACAAAAATAAATAAATAATTTTCTATAGAAATCTATATTTGTTAAAAATATCATAATTATGCAAGAATAATATAAAAGTATTATGTCTTGTTGAAATAGGTGGAATATATAAGACTACATTAGCAAAAATTACTTTCAATGACATCAAACATATGTATGGTGTAGTCTATTTTTTAGAAAGTATTCTAAATAATACAAATAGTTATACAATTTTATGCAATATTGTAGAACAGTTATTAGTTTGACCAAAATCTATAGATTTGAAAAATGCACAAAAGATATTCATAGACTTATTATTGGAAAAAAAATCATCATAGCATTGAATAATATAAGGAATAAAAATTAAATTAAATATATTGTATATATGAATATTTTATATGCAAGTAATAGCAACACTTGAATTATAACAACACAAGATTTGAAACCAATGCATTATTGTACTTCAATTATTCATAAAATAGACATTGTAGAACTTAATGATGATAGAAGTTTAAAGTTGTTTATTACTTATTCTTATAGAAATCAAGTCAAACTATCTAAAGAACTCATGGATGTTGGCAAAAAGATTATAAAAGCTTGTAATAGTCTTTTTTTTAAATCTAAAAGTAATAGGTGTAGTTTTAGGAGAACAAAAGAGGTTGAGATACTAGGACTAAGTTTTGCAAAAATTGAAAAGAAGAAATAATTTAGATAGAGTTGAAAAAAATAGTAACTATAAGATTTGGAGTGTTTTGAAAATAAAGTTTTATATATTTAAAATTAAAAAAAAAAATCTATATTTTTGGACATATATTATTTTTTATTGGTAATAATATATATCAAGATATCATGTCAAAAGAAAGAATATTGTACATGTAAAAAATAGTTTTAATTATTTTATTGATCAAGATAGATATTTTATATTAAATAAATTTATTTATGAATTTTTGGCAAAAGCACTTAAAAAAAGAGTTGTAAAAATGGAAAATCAATTATAAGACATGAAAAGAAGGATTGTCAAAAGTGAAGAAGAATATAAAGTCACAAGAATTTGAAACATGAATATGGTACCAATGGATGGATTTTTAATTGAGATATTATATTTTATTCTTCTTTAACATATTGAACTTTATCAAAAATATTTTCTTTAAAATTAAAAAAATTTAAAGATATTATTTGAGATATTAAAAAAATCACTTCTTTTATCAAAATTAATATAATTTATTATTAAAATTTGATATTATTACTAAAAGAATTGAAAAACCTTACATCTTTGAAAAAACTAAATTTAAAAAGATGTTTGAGTTTAAAATCACTACCAAAAGACTTAAAGAATCTTGCATCTTAAATTAAGATTAATATAAATTGGTGCTACAACATAACATTAATACCAACTTTATTTAAAAGTTTTAGATTTTTAATAATATTTAGTTATAATTATTTTAAAATAAAATTTCTAACCTTAAATCATTCATAAGTCTTAAAATAAATAGAACCTCATGTTTAAAAATTGCCAAAAGAATTAAAAAACCTCAAAAATTTAATAGAAATTGATATAAATAGGTACTCAAGCTTGACATCATTGTCAAAAGAATTAGGCAATTTTGCATCTTTGAAAAATATATATATATATATATATATATATATGCTCAAGCTTGATATTATATCTAAAGAATTAGACAATCTTACATCTTCAGTAGAATTTGATATTTATAGAAATATATATATATATATATGGATGCTCAAGTCTAATATTATTACTCAAAGAAATGAGAAATCTTAGGTCAAAGACATATCTTGGTATTAAAAAATGCTCAAGCTTGAAATCATTGTCTAAAGAATTGTTATATCTAATTGCTCAAGTTTGACTTTATTTACAAAAGAATAAAAAAAAAACTTACATCTTTGATAAAACTTTATTGTAGTTGGTACTCAACTTTTAAATTATTTTCAAAAGAATTAAAAAACTTAACATCCTTAAATAGACTTGATATGATTAGATGTCTAAGTTTTAAATCATTATCAATAAAATTAAAAAATCTTATATTTTAGAAATTTCTTTAAATAAAAAGATATTTAAGTTTGATAATATTATTAAAATAAATAAGAAATATCACATCTTTAATAGTGCTTGAAATGAAAGATGCTCAAGTTAGACATCATTATCAAATGAATTAGAAAACCTTATATCTTTGATAAAACTTAATACACAATAGTATTCAAGTCTGATATTATTGCAAAAAAAATTAAAAAAGCTTACATCTTTGACATGGCTTGAAATTTAAAAAAAAAAAAAATCTCTAACTTAACATTATTGCCAAATGAATTGAGAAATCTCACATTATCAACAACACTTAACATAAGTGTATACTTAAGTTTATCGTTATTATCTAAAAACATAAAATATCTCTTTTTGTTAAAAAGATTTGATATATTTAAGTGCACAAGTTTGACTTCATTTATAAAAGACTTGAAAAGCTTCATATTTTTCACATTATTTTGTCGTAGTTGGTACTCAAGTAAATTAAAATTCAACTAAAATCTATAAAAATAAAATAAAATAAAATAAAATCTTCTTATTATAAACTGTGTTATATTATTCAAATTTATAAAACTATATAGAAATTATAATTAGATCTTACAAAGTTTTTATATCTTTTTAATATGCAATAAGAGTTGAACATAAATTTTGTTGAAGCTATTAGAAAAAATTCTTATATTCCTCATTGTTTAATTTGCTATATATTTATTCTAAATAAATTTTGTATACAATAATTCTTATATAATTTCGGTATTTATTTATTTTTCAAAACCATATTATTCTATTTTTTCTTTTTTATTAAAAATAAAATTCTTAAATTTTAATTTGTTAAAATTTGACTATATTAGTATATGAAAAAAACTTATGTATTTCAAATATTATTTTTAAAAAATATATAAATTTTTTCATTTTTTCTAGAAAAAACCTACAAAATAGAATTAGTTCTAATAAAATGTGGCATAAGAATATGGAGAAAAAAAAAAAAAAAAAAAAAAAAAAAAAAAAAACTAGTCTATCAACAATGCTTTTTAAACCTTATTCAATTATTACCAAACAAATTTCATCTCAATTTTTGAGATCTATTTTTAAATTAACAATTGATACATTTTTAAAAAAGTAGATTATGAATTATCATTATTTACTATTAAAAAAATTTCTAAAAACACAACCTCAAACTAATTACTGGATGCCATTAAAGTTGAAATCATCCAAAATTAACTTAAAACTACAATATAACAATTTAACTAGATAAAAATTAAGATTCAAAATTTGAGTGATCTTCTCAAAATCAATTATGTAGTACAATAATTATATCAAATTGAGTATAATAATCAAGACAAATGAATTATATTGAAACAACTTGGTGGTTTGAACAAGATATGGGCGAAAATGATTTCAAACTCAATGCAACAACATCCTTCACTTCATCCCCCCTAAAGTAAGAGAGTACATTTCTATGTACATTTTTGTACCATGAATTTTAAAAACGAAATAAATCAATGCAGTGCAATTGGGGAGGAGATAAAAGCCCGTATACAGTAAAAAATAGATAAAACGTGCCCCCACCTCCTCACAACCCCCAACAACCAACCTGCAAACTTGCCAAAACCGATTCCACTAAGGAATCGTCGAGTAGTCCACGTTTCAGATCCCGTGCGGTCCCTTTACATGAAAATAATGTTAGGTCAGATGACGCAACCGCCCCCAGCAACGAATCCCACGTGTGGAGTCTAAGTGGATGAATGAAACAAAGTCAATTAAAAAAAGGAGGGGGGAACAGTGACGTGGGTGGATGAATAACGCCAGCCTCGGGGGATAGCCTCGGGGGAACGAACCTCCACCTCTAGTTGCGGACCATCGTTCCCTCGTGGAGCCTCCCCATTGGCCAGGCTTTTCATCCAAAGACACACTGCCACCTGTGAATTGGGGATTCCGAAGCAAACCCGCGGTCGATGTCTCTCATTCTCCGCCGTTCTTTTGAATACCCAAACTCCCGCAAAGGCTGTATTTTTTGGGTTTTTTGGGGTTTTTTCTTTCTTCCTGGGTTTTCTTTTTTTTTCTTTTTTTTTCTTTTTTTTGGATTTCGAAGCGTTTATATGAAGTCACAAGGGATGTAGAATTGCCAGGTGTTGTCGCGGCGACTATCACTGTGTCCGTCCGTCGCTCCGTCCGTCCGTCTGTGTTGTCTCCATCTTGGGAAGGGGGAACCTGCCGCGAGCCTATGGGATTGATTGAATGAGAGATAGATCGCAACGAAGCTGAAGAGGCCCAGGCGTTGCGTGTTGAAGGGCCTGTCTTAGTAGCGCTCCCTTCCTCCTGGCGATTCTGTTGGAGTTGTCGCAGAGTTTCGACAACTGTCATAGCGATGGCTGTCGCACTGGGAGCAGCAGGTTCTTTTGCTGGTGCTGCTGCAGCACGGGCCTGGACTTGCAGTAGCAGCATCAGCAGTTGCAACGAGATCCGGACCCGGTCGACGAGTGTCACGAGTGCGCAGGTTTGCGGTCTGATAAGGGCGGATGATGAGGTAGGACGACGCGGCGTCAAGACGAGGAGTCTGCGGTCTGGGGGGGTGGTGAGGCGAGCTGTGCAGCGGACGGAGCCGGAGCTTTACGATGGCATCGCCCACTTCTACGATGAATCGTCGGGCGTATGGGAGGGCATTTGGGGGGAGCACATGCACCATGGCTACTATGACGAGGAGATTGTGGAAGCCGTCGTTGACGGCGATCCTGACCACCGGCGAGCGCAAATCAAGATGATTGAGAAATCTCTTGCGTATGCTGGCGTTCCTGGTATGTATTCTTTCTCTCGTATTTCATCTGTAGAGATGTGAGTGGATGCCAGGTTTTTTACACTCTCCAGCCGAGCCCTACGCCGCCTATCTGTCTGTGGCCGTGTGGAGAGTTCGAGGGTACGCTCTCGTTTTTTCACTGTAGAGTGCCTTGTTTAATACATTATTTGGAGTATTATTCCGCAGCTTCGATTATGAATTCTGATAGAGCATTAATGCAACAAGCAAATTTGAAGGATGGTGACCGAAGCGCGAGTAGCTACGAGTCATATTGTTCTTTTGGTGTCTTTTTCTTTTAAGAACGCCCTTTTCGTTGTGATTTTGTTTGTGCAGATAGCAAAGATTTGAAACCGAAGACGATCGTCGATGTGGGTTGTGGGATAGGGGGAAGCTCACGTTACTTGGCCCGGAAATTCCAGGCCAAGGTGAATGCCATCACGCTCAGCCCAGTGCAGGTTCAGAGAGCCGTAGACCTTACTGCCAAGCAAGGCTTATCTGACCTCGTCAATTTCCAGGTAGCGAATGCCCTGAACCAGCCCTTTCAGGATGGTTCGTTTGATCTCGTGTGGTCCATGGAGAGCGGCGAGCACATGCCAGACAAGAAAAAGGTTAGTGACATTAGGGATAAATGTTAATACATTGACTTATTCTTGGTTTATATATATATATATATATATATATACAATCTTTTTGCGTTTTTTCTGAAATTCATGTAGTTCAATGTAAAGTCTGGATGCATTCGCTAAGTTTGGGTTCTTTCTCTGTGAATGGCTTTGAAGTTTGTGGGCGAGCTTGCACGAGTAGCAGCTCCCGGCGGTCGCATTATCCTGGTGACGTGGTGCCACCGTGATCTCAAGCCCGGTGAAACTTCTCTCAAGCCTGACGAGCAGGTTTGCGACCACGCTTCATTCTCTTTTTTTTCTTTTTTTCTTTTTCTGCAGTATCTTGTCAAGCTGTCACTAAAAGTACCGATTAATTTGATTCGGAATCATACCATCTCACTTATGGGAGTTATTTAATTGCTTTTCCAGGATCTTTTGGACAAGATTTGTGACGCATTCTACTTGCCAGCCTGGTGCTCGCCGTCGGACTACGTCTCCATAGCCAAAGACTTAGGCCTGCAGGTGAGAATTCTTCTTAAATCTAGTAAAACAAGTTACCAAAATTTTCCTCTTGTCGTTTTGTCACTATCGTTACATCTTTGTCCTTAATTTTTGTTTTGTTTTTTTCGTTTTTGGTTTTTGTTGAGAGGTTAAGTAATATAGAGGTGAAAGGTTTCCTGTAACCTTTGGCAGGGAGGAAGCCCAGACTCTGGGCCCTCCACCATGTTACTCATAATCACACTGTCGCTCCACTGATTTACATAGAAATATCTTTGGGTCAGATAATTTTTTATTGTTCAGTCATTTGGCAAAGTTGACTGAAACCAACTCCACAGGTAGGTTCTAAATAGTTCCAAACATATTTCCTGCCTCACAGGATATCAAGAGCGAGGACTGGTCCGAGTACGTGACGCCCTTCTGGCCAGCGGTGATGAAAACCGCCTTGTCCATGGAAGGGCTGGTGGGACTGGTCAAGTCCGGCTGGACTACTATGAAAGGAGCTTTCGCCATGACGCTCATGATCCAGGGCTACCAGCGAGGGCTCATTAAATTCGCTGCCATCACTTGCAGGAAGCGGGATTGACCGACTGATTCAGTCCTTCCTCATTTCTCATGACATCATGGACAATGTCGCAACCGATTACATTCTTATGCCAGTGAGGAATGGTTGCGTGGTTTCTGGTAATCGTCAAGCTTCGGAGTATAAGGGATTGAGGTCTCCGCTAGTAGACTTTACTATGGCATATTCAACCATCTGTACCTTGAGGGAGTAATCACCAATTCGTGCATACATCATTCGGCAAAAGATCATTGGACGTCTCTTCCAGAGAGAGGTGATTTCTTTCGAGAATCTTTCATGGATTCATCGTTTGATAGACGGGCTTACAGTCCGGCTGTTTTTGTGCTCAGAATTTGCGGTGTTTTGGTGATGTTTGAGAATCTGTGGGCTGTCTGAGATCCTGTTGGAGACGAAGCTTGTCAAATGGTCTTTTCTAGTTCTTGTCCATTGCAGTTTCCATTGACTGCAATTTATAAAAGACATCAACATAGTTTTAGGTCTAATAGTCGTTTCATCACGTACTGCTTGTGACATGTGTAACCAGGTCACGGTGGATGTGCAGATTTGACTGAACTCCATTAAGCTGCACTGCAAGACTTAAGTTACAATCAGCACCTGTTACAATGCATTTTTCATGACTTTATTTTAAAGTGAGTTTTCAAAGAGTTTTATGATAGCTTGATTTTAAGCTTGAAATGGTGTTGCAAGTCAAGTTTTATGAAGAGTCTTCATCTTTACAAGAATTTCACAGAACTGTCAAATAGGTGATTATAATTTGGAACGGTCATCTTTGTTACATTGTGAAAATATGAATTATCCTACGTATCAGAGAACGTTATTCTGGGCTTGCATGTGTTCAATGAATTTTGAAAATAAAAAAGCATCATCTCAGTATGATTATCAAATTGTCAAGTTTATAATATTATCTAATTTTATCTCTATTTTATGTTTTATCATTAAAAGGCATAAGATGTATTCATACAAATATGGTTTGAACTGTTGATAAGAATAAACGTTGTCAGTAATTTATTTTAAGTATACAAGAATCCTAGTATTTTGTTAACTACATCCTTTACGGGAATACAGAAGAATTGCAAACAGAGTTCACATTGTAGTAAACAAGAATACAAAGAGAAAGAAAGAAAAAAGATTAATAGATTGTGTATATATATATATATATATATTTACATAGGAGAATGTGAAATTGGCCCATCCATCATTGTACGCTTTGCCCTTAAGAAATCCTACTGCAATCAAGGGATGGGGGGCTGAGAACAGAAACGGTAATGGTCAAGAACAGGATCTAAAACTACTAAATTTTATTATGTTTATTAACTTCATACAACAACAAGTAATAACCAACATAATATTGGCACAATATTAATTGCTTGGAAACGTAATTCATTTATCTGCATAAACAAAAATTATGATAATAAGATATTCTTTTTTTATGTTATATTAAGTAGGGTCAATAACTTTGTAATCAAATTCCAACCTTAAGGCAATTGCAGCAATCTTTTGATGAAGTGATATTTATATTTTTGTAGTCTATAGAATACCTGGTTAAATTTGCAAAACAAAATAATTGTTACTTTCTTTTGCAAATCTTTTATATTGTTCAATAAGAATGTCATCTTCAAAGTTTCTATTGATAATTATTGGGTTTGGATTTACTTGGTAGACTTCCAAATTTTATAATTGCCTTAATAATTAGAATACATCCAATGATAGTGAATATAGCTACTAGTACAAATGTCTTATTGAAATAGACTTTGTGCTCTTACAAAACTTTCATTGTCATTAGTCTTGTCTTTTGATAATTTATATCTTATACAACATCTTTCTTGGTCTTTAAATTAACTTGTAATTTATAGTTTTGCAATTATTTGCATCAATTGGATCATTTTTGTCCTTAAGCTAGTCATAACCTTTCATTGTCACATCTTTATGAATAAGAATTATTAGTGGTTTGTCAACTATAGGCATATGATTGCAAATACTATTTCTACTTGGACTTATCTCTAACTCTTTTAATGATTTTATTATGTTTATGAAAAAATTCACTATAAAAATAAATAATTGATTTATTATACAAACTTATTTATCTATATGCTTTATATCCTTACTATATACAAAAAAAAAAAAAAAAAAAAAAAACAATTCATAGACTTTGCATAAATTTATGTTATTTAATTGACATGTAGATATTTATGGTTTAATTATGTTTAGATATTCAACTAATTTTAAAGAAAAATAAAATAAAATAAAACTAATATATAAAAAAAATTAACATAATTTTGAATTATTCACAAATTTTTTTTATTTGATTATTTTTTGTAGAAACTACAATTTTTAAAAAATCAAAAATCAATTTTCTTGGATTATGGATTAGATTTTTATTGTTATATTTTTATATATAATTTTTTAAAATTTATAAAATTTAAAATAAATTAAATCTAAGTTAAAGATTTATTTCTTTCATGCAAGGGTATTCTTTTGATACATAATTATATTACATAATTTCAATATATTTTTACTTTTATTTTATCTTTTGAAGATTTTATTTATTATTGAATTTAGAGCCAGCAAAGTTAAAAATTCTCCATAAATGTTAAACACTTGTAGATAATTTTAATAATTATCTCAGTTTGTTTTAATTACAAAAAAATACATATTGGTAAAAGTTAAAATTTTGTTGGAGTTGTTTTCTTCTTTATCCTTTTATTCTTTTGTGGCAATAACCAACATTCATTATATTGTTCATTTTAGTTTATTTTTGGTTCCATTAGTTATTTTCAAAAACGTAGGACATAACAAAGTTGTTATGTAATACCAAAGACATTATAGCAGATTACTTCATGTGGTTTTTTTTAGAGGTTTTTAAAACTAAGCTTATCATCAAATCAACAAGTAATTTTCTTTCATAAACATATGTATATATAGATAGATAGGGGATTTATAAATTGACCAAGGCATTTACTAAATCAAACCACCCATCCTAATCATCATTTAATTTGTTTTTGTATTGATTTAAGAATACAAAATGAGCATTCATTGAATTGTACTTAAAATCAATGCAGTAAAAATAAAGCCATCAATCAAAAACATAATACTAAAGAATAGAAATGCATTGCATGTCTATTAAATATTGTCAAATTTAGATACCTTAAGTTTTTGCACATATTGTAACAAGTTGAATTTATTTCATTCAATCAAGAATATAATATTAGACCAATTCTATTGTAATCTATGTATTCATACATAAATATTTTTTTATATCAGTTGGATGTATCTTTTGGAAACTTGTAATGATATATTGTTTGTATATAAATATATATATATATATATATATATTTTGTGCATGAATATGCATGTGGAACAATCTATACGTAGATTTTTGTATAGATATATAAAAAAAAAAAGAAAAAAAATAAAAAAAAAGGAAGTTTACATGAAAGATAAGATGTGCAAGATAACAAAAATATCTTGCTGAGTGGCAATTATTTTTGCTATAATTTTTTGATTATTCTTCGTGGTTTTTTTAAGACTTTTAATAGTACTAGGTTTTTACATTGAAAATTATAGTAATCAGTTGTTTTAGTTTACCAATTGTAAAATTTGTCACAGTCAAAATGTTTTGAAAAATGAGACAAGAAAAGAAATGTTGCATAGAGTTCTTATAACCTTTTAAACAATTTTTGAAGTTTAAGACCAAAAAATCAACTTTAAAAACACATCATTAATATACATTGCAGGTTTAGCAAATACTTCTAGTACAATAATAAGTTTTTTTACATTACAACTTAGAAACCTTAAGTTGTAATGTAAAGCAATATATCCTATTTGAAAATTACATACTTTTACTTTAAAATATGGTTCAATGTTTAGAAGAATGTTAGATATCTTTGAAAGTTTTACACATTTTTTTCGAATCATATCATTTCTTTGAGTAATGAAAAGTTGTATTAAAACAGCATAGGCATTGATAAATAAATTAATTAATACATTAATCATGTGTTTTAAGAATCATTATTATTGGTATTACTTACACAAGGTTTTAATGATATATGTATGTATGTATGTATATGTATCTCTCTCTCTATATATATATATATATATATATATATAACGAGGCTATTTTTTTCTTTTTTTTATTGAGTTTTACATTTACTAGATCTGAAACAAAATGTGTGTTATTTTCCAACAAGATCATTATTTTTTAAAAGAAGCACAATTATAAATTTAAACAATGACATTTAACATGAATTTTATTTCAAATAGTGTGTGAATATATATACATATATATATATATATATATATCTAATGCTTATTTATATATTAAATACATCATATATCTTCATAGCACTTTCTAACATGAATTGGTGTTATGTATATATCTATATATACATATCCATGTACATACAAATATACTTATTAAATCTTTGTTTTGTGTTTATTGTACACTAGACATTGGTATCAATTTCTATTAACAAACAAGAGTCTTTTTCCAATTTTAATTCAATTTTTGAAAATGAAACTTAATATATATATATATATATATATATATATATATATATATATATATATATTGTTGTTGTCATAAAATTCATGTGGCAATATTATAAATAAAATATTTTTTTAAAATGATAATTAAAAAAAGATTAAGATTAATATGATTTCTTTTGATATTTTTTATTATTTATTAATATCAATTGAATAATATAATACTTAAAGATAAATAAAGAGTATTACTAATGCCACCACCACTTATTCTTATTAATTTTTCAATAAAACTTTGAATAGATTTAAATTTATTTTTTATATAATATAAAATTAAAAATCATATTAAAAATATTAACAATTTTTTTGGTTTGAATTAAAGAAAGACTAAAGAAATATATCGAGTGGTTGGCAAGTAGTAGTCACATTGGCAATACCCTAAATAAGTATACATAATCTTATTAAGTTTTTATTGTTCAATTGAACTTTTAGCTCAACAATAATTAAAAAGTTTAGAAGTTTGTGAAGTAAATATCAAATACCTAAAAATGTAATTTTTATACATATGTATTTATATATTCATATTTATATATTTTAATTCTATATTATTTTAAAAAGTATTAAAATTTTCAATAGAAAATTTATTTTAAGATTTAAATCACTTTATTGCACATTAAAAACTGCACCTCATTTAAGAACAATCTCAAAATATTCTAGATTTGCTCAACAATATAAGTTTTTGTTAATATACATGTATCTATCTATATATATAGACACACCTACTCCAAAACAACTAAATAATATTACACATATAATATAATTTCATACCACCGTGAGGTTTATATATATTGGACTTTATTGAACACATGGAGGCTAGAATAAAAAATTAAAAACATAAGAATCCTAAAAGCTACCTAATCTAGGATTCTCTTCAAGAGAAAAAAATGACTCAATATGGGTTAGGATTATCACTTGCCTGGGCCACGTAGGATCCCCACTCCGCCAAAAAGTAATGGGCAAGGAGAAAAAAAAGAAAAAGAAAAAGCTAACACGGTAATGGGCCATGCGCGGTGGACGTAATCGTGGGAGCCTCTGCGAGGCTTCCGTTTGGGGGGGGGGGGGGGCTCGTTGCATTCCCAGCTGGAGCTGAAATTCGCGAAGCGTCATGCCCACGGTTCTCCGTCGGAGCGATCAATCCAGTCCGTCTCATCTCACCGTCGCGCACAATTCTCTTCCTCACGCGGTCATATGCATTCTGGGTTTGCCTACAATCGTATGCTGTGTTGGGTTTTTGATGGGTTCCTTGTTTTGAGGTTGAAGCTCGCACCGATTCTACCCTCGCAATTTGTCGTCGTAGCTTGTTCGTTGACCGAGTTCTAGAGCATTTCTGGACTTGGGTTTTCAGTTTTGTGAGACATCGTTGAGAGCTTCTGATGTTAGTAGACCAGATGGAGTATCAGGGGCAACAAGGGAGTGGAGGACCGCAGGACGATGCCTTTTATGAACTGCTCTCTAGCACGGCGCTGGCGAACGCGAAGAAGCAGCAACAGCAGCAGCATCAGTTCGAACAGCAGAATCATCAGCAGCAGCAACAGCAGCAGTTTGATTCCCGGAGCGAGGAGGGGCTCCCGAATTATGACTTTCAATCTACTTCGAGCTCCTACGGCGGTGTCGTAGCCAATGGAGAGGATATGCGCAAGGCCCCCTCGGTTATGCCCGTCGTCGAGTCCTCTCATCCGCCCCATTTCCCGACGTATCCGCCTGGATCTTCATATTCGGTAATTGCCTCTCTTTGGATTTTTGCTCCGGGAAGTTTTGGTCGTGATAACCCTAATTTGCAAGAGGGTTGATCTAAGATGTGCTCATGTCCTTGTTTCATTTTGCAACATCATAACCACACGTTTGAAATCAGGACTTCCGTAAGTTTTGAGAATTCCCTTTTTCTAGAGCCCTAGAAGATGAAGTTCTGTTTCTTGGAGCTCTGTCTCGACCTAGCAAGCTCCACTGAAAGTAATTTTGTGTGTTTAATGCTTGATACCTTGCTTGTTAGTTTATTGTGTCCTTGGACATCAGAGTTAGGGTTTTGATAAGTTTATTAATTACGAAAAATATTCTGAAAAGGATTGTCTGCATTGATGCAGAATGCGCGGCAACATCTTCCTGTTCCATCGTTTGTGGAGTCATCGCCCCCTAGACAGGAGAAAGGGAACGCTGAAGCTGCTACTGTAGCTGCGGTAGAGCAGACTATGAAGAAGTATGCCGATGATCTGATGCGCATGATGGAGTCCATGGCTGGGCGTATTGGTCAATTGGAGTCGTCGACTCGACGCTTGGAGCAAATAATGACCGACTTCAAGGGTGGATCGGAGAAGAGCCAGGGTGTTTCAGGCGGCAAGCTCTTACTCATCGAGACTATGCTCTCTGAAGTGCGTCATGTGAAATTATACAAAATTTGTGTGCATTTTCACCATGTGAAATGGTTGTTCGAATGATAACAATTTGAAACATCATGACTCACTCTTGATTGTGACTGGTCTTCTTCGCAGGTACAACGTGGTGTACAGGAGCTACGCAATAAACAGGAAGTTATGGATGCTCAATCTACAATTGGAAAGCTTCAACTGGGCGACGAGGGCGTTTCTTCCTCAGTCCACTCCCAAACGTCTTTGGAGCCACCACCGGCGCAATCTCCGCGAGCTCCCCAAATGCCAGAGACGCCACCTTATCCGATGGGACCGCTCCCTCATGCTCCTCACCATCCGCCCGGTCATCTTCCACCTTACATGGTGCCACCACAGTTGGTAGGTCTTGCTCCTCCTCCACCACCGCCTCCTGCGCCTGAGCCTCATTACCAGCCTTCTCAGCAAGGCCCTCCTCCTCCTCCTCCTCCTCCTCCTCAGCAGTCTTACCACAGCCAGCAGCTGCAACAGCAAAGTACCCCGCCATCTGCGCATCCTCATGGTCCATTCCCTCAACCTCCTGAGCTTCCACCATATGGCGCAACACCACAAGGACCCTACAAGGGGCAATCGGGGAGCTTCGGTCAGGATGCTCCTCCACCGTCTTATGGAGGTCGGCCGCACCATATGCCTCAGACTGGGCTTGGTGGGTCGCAAATGTACGACCAGTCGGGTGGGATACCACCCTACCAATCTCAAGGTCGGCCTGCAGCCCCGGCTTATGATCAGCCAATCGGGCTACCGCCTCCTGGATACTTCAATCCGGGGTACCGAAGTGGGCAGCAAACCCCGTCAGCTCCGAGTAGCGGAGCTGGAGGCTATCCTCGGTTGCCAACAGCTCAGCCTGTGCAACACGCCATGCCAACGGCGAGAGAGCGCGAAGGAGCTCAACCGTCTTCCGGTGCAACCCCTTTGTCAACAAACCGACTGTCTATTGATGAGGTGATCGACAAGGTCGCAGTGATGGGCTTTTCTAAGGACCAAGTGAGGGCGGTGGTGCGGAGGCTCACCGAGAATGGCCAGTCTGTGGACCTGAACGTTGTTCTTGACAAGTTGATGAACGGAGATGGCGGAGCGCAGCCGCCGAAGGGTTGGTTCCAAAGGGGCTGAAAATCTGCTTCTCTCTTTGGATGCTATTGGTCTGTTTCCAGTAAGTTGTAGGGGATAGCAGTAGATTTGTAGCAATAGACTTCGATTTTGTGTCTTTCATGTATAAGTCTGGTATTTATGTGTACATACATAAGAGGTGCTGGATGCTCCTGTCCTGGAGTCCTCAGTTGAGCTGTTAAGTGTTAATGTTGCTTGACAAAGTTGCTGGTGTACATGGGAGTCTCTGAAACCTGCTAGCATCAGTTTTCTGTTCACCTTCACAGAATTTTGCTGATTCGAGTCTTGTGCTTACATAGTAATAGAAGCCATCGAAGGCAGCCATGTGCGTTGTAACAAGACTGTTAATCAAAGAGATTTTTCATGACCATATCTATTGAATCCCAGTGAGCACTTGTGCTTGTTGTGTAATGGGGAATTGTGCGACTCCGCGTAGGATAATGGGTGGCATGTTCTAGTCACGCAGTTGTGAATTTGCATTGCAATAACATTCGAGTGTTGCTTTTGTCTGAAACGCCGACAAGCTTTCGAAGGAATCAGGACATTCACATCCACTTACAGAATTATTTTCACAAGACGATCTTAACTCCAATTTCAGTATAGCCGCATGCGCAGACTCGGTTGCTCAGCCTAGAGAAAGGAGGCAGTGAAATATAGATGCGATTTCTATCTATATCTTGTTCTTTTGTGTTCACATTTGGAGTGAGATTCACATGCCATAGAGGTGAGATGTCTTCGCAGCTTTTCCGTCCGTCCTGGATTGCAGCATTCCTGCTCATGGAATGAATTGCAGTCAGACTCCTGTTTCTTCTTCTGCTGCTGCTTGCATGCTGCTCTGAAGAAGTTCCTGAAATGTACTTTTCCCCTAGGTTTTTATAGCAGCAGCTGCGGCCCAATATCAAATGTGGGTATTGAGTGCTCAATCCAATTTGTGTTAATGGACCTTACTTCGGAGGATTCAATGTAGAAACCTAAACCTCAGCAAGGCACTCACAACTGAAATTAGGGTACATTGGCGTCATCATTCTGTTCAAAGATTCATAAAGATGGAGACTGAGACCATGGTTTAATTGCATTGTTGTATCTGTCATTGTGCGTTCAATCCTATCAATCTGGGGGAGGCTTGATCACGATTGCCTTACAGAACCAACGTCGTATACCCTTTATTCATGATTCTGCTCTTTCAACCCCTAAAGAATCAAAGCTGCACATGAGCGAAAACTTTGGTTGCAAAAATTGGGGTCACAATGGTCGTTACATGAGAACCACTCATTAAAAGAGTGAATTAAGAATTGAATTTATTATTTGCAGAATACGAATCTTCAGGCTTAAGGAGGCGATTCTTCTGGTAATGGGATGCAGGTTTCGCCAGCAGATCATTAAGCATAGACAGTGTTGAAGATGGCTTTCAGTCAGCAACTAAGGTTAGTGCGAACACCAGTCTTTATCCTGCTCCGAACGTTTAATCTTTCATTGGAACATCTCCATGTTCTTGTTTGAAGTGCCTGTGTTGGAATGCTAATTCTGAGGGATCAAACTTCTGCCACAGCTCTACAGCTCTACATTGTTGTAGAAGGATCTAGAGAGATGATTAGCAGAAAATAATCTCAACAGTTAGAAATTTTTCTCTCGAATTGAATGCTTTGCAAAGAACAGGCTTGGTGATAAACTGGGTCAACAGGAGCAAGCTTGTCATTCCCCTGAACTACTCATTCTTGTGCACTCAGTCGATTTCAATGTTACGCTATAAGAAAATCGCATCAAACAAGAAGGAATTTGTGTGGTCTCGATGTTCAGATTGCCCTTGATTGTCTATCTTTACCTTCCTTTTGCGCATTACTGCTCTGTCTATTTCTTTCCGATTAGCCCACAACTTCACAATGTCTAATTAGCTCTCAACTTCAAGTTATAAAACGATCCCTTCAGTTGTGTTTTTCTCATGGGTTCAAACTGACATTTTTGTGAGGGCTCTTTATTATCATCTTCCTCATCGTGTGTACTTGGCAGCCAAACCTCGACGCACTGGTTATGCTTCTCGAGGACCCAATCGGTGCAATCAGACTATGAATCGTGTCTGTTTGAACGGCAGTGGACGATCAACATGGTTGATACACACAGAAATCATGCCAGTGTTGAATTCTGGTCTTAAGGAAATGAACCCAGGGCATGGACCACTGTGAAGTCTATTCCCTTGAGTTTATCAGGATGCCCTTGTCTGCTTAACATTTAGCTTGGGTTGTGTCTACTGCGCAGTATGTTTGCTCATACTAAATTTCCTGATGGTTTTCTCATGTTTAATCACAAGCTTATGAAAGTCTGTGAAGAGGGAGTGAAGAACTGAGCATATATTTTTGTAATTTCATTGTGACAATCCTGTGTTCTTGCTCATTTGCAGATTCTTCCTTATTTGTCATTGTTGTGATTGAATTCTCTAGAATAGCTGGACATCTCTTAACAGACTTCATAGATGCTGCCTATTCTGAAAACGATTTTTTAAATGCAGTCATGCATGCAGTGTGTGGTGCTTTGTTTCGAAATTTGTTATCCAAATCTGTAACAAGGACCGTATGCAATAGACACAATGGAAATGCATTGCCAGTATTAAGATTGATGTCAACTACACGAACCATTTTGGGTTTGGCGAACATATTTTAATCTTCTCGTAACATATCAAGGCGATAGAGACCTGCAACACATTAAACGAGTATGATTTGTGAAAACAAGTAGCAAGTTGATGATGAACTGTTGATGTCTATTTTGCAATAACTTGAGAAACCTACTTCTATACCTAATGTAGGTGTGGTTTTTTAATTATAGAGAAAGTGATAAATTTGATATGGATTGCAAAAAAGCAGATACTTAGTCTTTATTGATCTCCATTTATCCATAATTGAAAGAGTTATTATTATTATTATTCACAAGAATGACATCCAACCTTAAACTACACTGTTTTGTGTTTTGAGTGTGTGTTTTTTTTTAATCTAAAGTGTTATTAGTAGAGTGCAAGGTGTTGTGTAAGTCATATGTGTATTAGTATCAAATGTTGACATTTAAACTATACATTGTAAGTAGAGGAGGATATTTTAACTCTTAAGTTTTTGCAATGTTTTCATATGAGGAGACTCACATCCAAAACATTTATAAATATATACATGTCTATATATGTATATATATATATACATATATATGTGTGTGTGTGTGTGTGTGTGTTTATTTTAAAGATCTATAATAGACATAAAATTGCATTACATTACATGTAATGAGATGATGAGCTTTTTTTTTGAAATATCTATATGGTATATGTATTATTTTATTGATATTAATTTTTTTTAATAATCATCCTACAATGAAAATAGTAAATTTATAAAGAATAAAAATACCAATTAATATATATGTTATTTTCTTTGTAATACTAATATCAATCTCTTCTTGTTTTTTACAAGCATTTTGTATTGTATGTAGTTGGCACTTATATCCAATTATTCTAACAAAGTATGCTTTGATTATATACATTATATTGCTTGTATGTTCTAATAACATCTATTAAAAATATATTTATTTTATTGTATGTACTTATAGATGATAGTTAATTTTTTTCACATAAGTAAACATAAGTTTATGGATAAGAGAAGTAAATGATAAAAATGCATGTATGTATTTGTTGATAAACATAAAAGCCTTGAGTATAAACATATTTGATTTTTTTTATTTTATCAATGGCCATAAAATTTAAGGATATGAATATAAATATATGTAATATTTTAAAATATTAGAAATAAATAGAAATAATCTTGTACATGTGTTGGAAACCTTAAAGCTATTCAAAAGAAAATTGAGATATTATAGTACATCAAATTTTTAAGGTTATTTGGTCATAATTATATACAAATACTTTCTAATTTATATAGAAATACTTTAATGATGTAAAAGGTGTTCTATCAAATATGTTTGCAGGATATGGCATTAGTGACTAGTTGCTAGATTCATGTTGAAATACTTATTCTTTTACTATTGATTATCATTAGAATACTTATATAGATATGTATAATATATTAAATATATATAATATCAATAAAAAAAATAGATATGATTATAATAGTTGTAGTTATATAATACATACAAGATTAAAAGACATATTTATAAAAAAAATGTAATCATAGGTTTTAATTTAAATTAACATTTTAAATTAATATAATATATATAATAACATTTGACAAATCATTGCAAAGCATAAAAACTATCTTTTAGTTGGACTTAGCATTATAACCTATTTTTATTATTATTCATAGTTGTATTAGATGTATTATTATTAGGCACATGTCTCGCATATAATATGTCTTGCAGTTTCCATATATATATATATATATATATATATATATATATATTATCTATGCATAAAAATATAAGAACATACATTATAATAAAAATAAATTCATGAAATATTTATATTATCTAAAATTAGTATATTTATTTTATCTATAGAAGATAAAAATTATATAGGCTCTTTGAGGAATTTTAAACTTTTGCATTTCATCTTCTATAGTAATATATATATATTCTTACATAAATTTATATATCTATTTGACAAAAGTACAACAAATATTCTTGTCTTGTTGCATTATTGTTGCTTCACAAGTCACACAATACATGGTTATATATTCTATTTTTCATTCTATATATATTTTCTAAATTATCTATATATATGCAATGTTTTGCTATATAGATGGATATGTGGTTTTATTATTGTATAAAAGAAGAAAATACACTACACAAATATTCCATTTACAAATATATATATATATATATATATATATATTCTATTTACTTAATAGATGCATTAGAGGAATTAACTTTCTTATCAATTATAATAAAATAATCAAGCACCATTTCTACTAGAATTCATTAAGATTTTTATTGCTAATTTCAAAAGAATTGTCCCATATAAATAAATTACCTTTTAGAACTCAATAGAGGTTTTTATATATAAGATGAAACACTAATATTCATTTCTTCTACTTTTGCTCCAATTACTAAATACTCCATTCAATTTTAGCAAAGATGTAAAAACAAAAAACAAAAATAAAATAAAATAAAATCTCCTATTTACTACATCAAGTTCCCATTTGTTCCTTTTGCATATACAAGTAGTTTAGTATTTGAGTCTTGTATAGCCATAAATAAGGCAAAACAAAGTAGATTAAAAAAATAAATAATATGAGCATCTTTAGGAGAAAGTCTAATCCTACCTAGAATTTGCTAACAAAGAAATTGACACATAAGCACAACTAACAAACGAGCTTGTGTGCGATTGCAATACTCCCAATACACCCAATACCCATGCAATTGAGCAAGCATAAGTTTTGCAGCATTGCAAAGCCAATATTTGACATTTTTTGCCTTTTGCTCAGATTTAATGTTAGAATCGACCCACAAAATTTTCCCTTTCCTACTCAATGCATGCAAATATCTCCAGCACATGAAAACTGGTGGAAACTTGACGTAGTGAAGATGAGGTTTACAGACTGCCCATACGTATAACGTAGAGTTTGAAAATAAGTACATTGTTAGTATGTATGTTTGCATCCACGTTGTCCACACTTCAAGTGCCGTATACGTGTGACCATATCCGTATACCGCCGCGGGTGCAGCCTGTTACAAGTCTTTTCTATCCGATGATGCTTCATGTAAGACCCACTTTACAAATGTCACGTTGCCAGGTTCGAATTGTGAAGGCAGCGTCATCTCTACTCTTTCCTTGCTGTGTGAATCTGCTATCCTCCAGTTGTTGGGTCCCTTCGACCCAAGAGCTGATCACTGAGATTGACAGAGCGATGTTCGTTTCGCAATATTAGGTGTAGTTGTTGTTGTTGCTGCTGCTGCTGTGATTTGTGATTTGGGAGTGAGAAGTCAAGGGATTTGAGGGTTGAATTCAACAATGCCTCCGTTGTCGCAAGGCTTGGCTCTGAATTCGCAGACCTTATCAGCTCTCTCGCTGATTTTGGCGGTGCCGAAGGTGATAGCCTCGGCTGGGTCGGAGATGTATCAAGACCGGATGCTCAGTGCGAGTCTCCTGCAGCCTGGAGCGGTGAATGTGAAGTCTAGACGTGGGTTTCTCAAGTTCTGCGGCACGTGCACGACGTGCAGGCGAAATGTGAAAAAGATGGTGTGCAAATGCATTGGTGAGGACCCTCAATGTTCCAGGTGAGGGTTCTGTGGCTCACTGTGTCTTGATTGGGTTCCAACAAGAAAAACCTAATTGCAAGAATCTAATCTTGAGCTTGGATTTGTTCAGTGCATTCCTTAGTGCAAGCAATAAGGTTTCGAAAGCCCTCGACGAAAGCCCATGCAGCTCAAGATTCTTTGAGCATAGTGTCGTTTTTGTGTCTGCGTACATGGCCTCGGCTATCCTGTTTCTAATTGAGATTTCTGGACTGAAAAATACGCTCTAAAGGATGGCAATCGCTGCTGTTACCATTTTGTCGGGCAATTGCAAATGATGTTGGAGAAGCTCTGGATGGGGCGCAGAAACGGGTTTTATCAATCATGTAGCAATCTTTTAGCTCAAATCAACCAGTTTTCATGCCCAAATCAATCCACGATTGAATGTATAATCTGCATTGCAGCTATAGTCCCAATCGTGGCGGGGAAACCTTATTTCACAGGAGCTGGCTTTACATGGATTCTAGAGGAGGCAGGATTATTCTTTGTGAGCTTTTTCTGGGTTGTTAGCAATCCCTCTAGATGTTTATTATTTATCATGTTCTTAATAATCGAAGTCCTCAGTGGTGAATGCGATTTTGAATTGATAGGTCGAATGCGTCTGAGCCACTTGAAATGAGAAATCGTGACGAAATTGTGAGGGGAGGACGGATGCGGAGGCGAACGTTTGGGACCAGTATCTTAGGTGGTGCAATAACCCTTCCATTCCTTCAGGAGCTTCAGGGTAAGCTGCCACAGTCGCTGCTCTTCCAAGCTACAACATCATCAGTTACTGTACATGTGCAGCCCAAGAAACCGTTTCCTACAGCTGTTAAATCAAAAAATATAAATATTTAAAAGCACAAAGTCTAAATACCAAGATCGTTTGTGCTCTGCATCATTTACTTGAAGGTGTAGTAGACTTGTTCTTTGCTGGCACAAAGAACAACATTCCCTCTCTCGTTTTCCTAATAATGTACGAGTCCTCGCAAGCATCGCATGATCGCAACTTCACCTGTGATTGTTTCTATAACTGTGCGTTGGATCTGGGATGCTCCACAGCGCGAGCTCTTGGTGACCCAACTGTGACCATTGATGAGGTGACCCCTACGATCGCACCTGCCGGTAGCCTACCCCCTGCAGAGGTGGGCTTAATTCTTCACAAAGTTGAATGAATCGTACAGCTTTGCTTTTCTTGATTAGTATCTAGTGTTGAGTATGTATCGCCATCATGGCTAGCTTGAGTATTAAAGAGGAAAGAGGGTATTATGGTTGCAACCAGGAACGCACAGTGGAGCTCTTTGAACGCAACACTTACTCAGTTGTGAACATCTTCGATGTCTCACTGCGCCCTCAAGTCAACATGACGGGTTCTGTCGAGGTGCCTTTCTTCGACTTCTCCTTGGACTACTGATTGCGTTGAATCCAACTGGTCGTTTTGTATCAAAGCTATATTTGTCTGTGTAAATTTTGATCATGGATTAAGGTGTAGCGGCTTTCTTGTGCAGGTCCCAGAAGGAAATGGATCGGGCTTCATTTGGGACGAGGAAGGCCACATTGTAACAAATTATCACGGTGAGCCAGTTTCTCGTACGTGCATGGTTGCACTGATTAATGTGTAGGAATTCCTTGCAGGTTGGCATAAGGTTATATATATATATATATATATATATATATCGAGAGAGAGAGAGAGAGAGAGAGAGAGAGAGAGAGAGATTTTTCATAATATGAGTCAACCTCGTCTTGTATGCTTGCGCAGTAATTGGGAGCTCATTAGCACGCAACCCTCCTCTTGGACAAGTTGTAGCGCGCGTTACACTGCTGGGAGCCGACGGGTAAAAATCTTTTTGCTGCACAGTTGCTTCTTTCCGTAGCAATTAGAGTGATTTTGAATTCTTGAACTGTGATGTTGTCGAGGGTGCAGGAGTGGTGTACAGAGCATCGATTTTCTCTTGCATTAAATAAAGTAAACTGCGTAGTTTTCATATCTTGAAAATTGATCCTGTCAATGATCTCGAGGCTTAGTGGCTATTTTTGGTGGTGGTTTTTGGGCAGGGTAGATATCAGAAGAATTTTGAGGCAAAGCTTGTCGGTGCTGACAAGACCAAAGACCTTGCAGTGTTGGATGTGCGTCTTTCTCATTTAATTCTGCAGAGATGATTATACTATGTCTCTTTTTATTCATACTAAGCCTCTTAAGTTACGGTGGAGGTTTATGTCATGTTCATTGACACCTTGTTAAACTATGTGGGCGCTTCAGGTGGACGCTCCAGTGGAGCTTCTCCGTCCCGTCAAACTGGGTCAGTCTTCCAAGCTTAGAGTTGGACAGAGATGCCTAGCTATCGGCAACCCATTTGGTTTTGACCACACTCTGACAGTCGGTGTTGTAAGTGGTCTGAACCGCGACATTTTCAGCCAGACTGGTGTCGTTATTGGGGGCGGCATTCAGACTGACGCAGCCATCAATCCTGGCAACAGGTAACAAGCACACTCAAATACTGTTGTTAAGCTTTTGGTTTACTTCTTTCCCCTGATTTCTATCCACTGATCTGCGACACGGTGTGTGGTCATACAGTGGAGGTGTGCTCTTGGACTCAAATGGCAACCTCATTGGCATCAACACCGCAATCTTCACTCGCACAGGTGCTGATGTCTTTTTCTCTTCATGAGGAACATTCCCTTTTTTTGTCTTAATCCTGTTTCTGGCTATCTACCGAGGGATATCGCTAACTGTGCGCTTTTTCCCTCCCCATTTGTTTTACCCGCAATCATGTAGGCACGTCAGCCGGAGTTGGATTCGCAATTCCTATTGACACAGTCGCCAAACTCGTGCCTCAGCTAATCGCATATGGCAAGGTCTGTAAGAATGTTCGAACTTCATTGTTTCTGTTCGTCTCTGAGAAACCATCATCACCGATTTCTAAAATATATATATATATGATCCTTCAGGTTATGCGGCCAGGACTCAATGTACAATTTGCACCTGAGGCAGTGGCCAAGCAACTCAACGTTCGCAGCGGCGCTCTAGTGCTAACAGTAAGCTCCTAAACAACTTGCAAACAAATTAGCAACTCTCGCTTATTGTTCTTCCCGTGTCTCATATTTTCTTATATCTTTCTGTGAATGGAACAGGTTCCAGACAAGAGTGCAGCTGCAAAGGCAGGGATTATTGCAACCAGGAGAGGGTTAACTGGAAATATCCTTTTGGGCGATGTAATTGTTGGAGTTGGCGAAACCACGGTGAGTATACAACCTCTCCCATGCCTTGAATACTCTTGGTGAATATCTGTCACTGCCACTGTTCCAGACAACTCTTTTTCTGCATTTAAGATTGTCATTTCCACTTGCTCCTCATAGGTGAAGAACCCTCAAGAGCTCACGAAAGCATTAGACAGTTACCAAGTCGGAGATCAGATTTTGCTTAAGGTCCAGAGGAATGATCAGATTCAGGTGCTGCCATTGACACTGGAAGAGAGCATGCGATGAGAAGAAGACATAAACCACTATTAAACATGGGTCAGTGCTTATCAGATTCTTACCAGAATTTTCCACATTGATTGCAGCACAATATGAACTATTCAATCTTCCGGCTCTGTAATTACACACGAAAGAATTGAGTCCCAGGTTCCATCTGATGCATGTATTGTCATTGCCCTCTGCTTAGCAAGCTCTTTGTGTCTTCTCCTGTGAGCACCATTGCGTTGGATCAGTATTACTCGTTGGTGTTTGTGATGTGTTTTTCGAAGATGGATTTGAAATGAATGTTATGTGTAACCATTTTTTTAAAATGCTCTTGAAAAAAAATTATCAATAGCAGTGTAATGAACACTACTAAATACAATGTCATGAAATACAGCGGAATAAAAATTACAAAAAAAAAAAAAAAAAAAAAAAAAAAATCATCACTTAGACAACGCTCAGAATTGCTTAAAACACTTCGGTTAGGTGTCGTGTTCACACTAATACAAACGATATATATATATATATATATATATGTAGAAGAGAAGAGAGGGTTTTAATTCATCCATTCATCCATCCACGCTGTCAAGTTTCTGTCCATCCACGCTGTCAAGTTTCTGTCCATCCACGTCAGACCTGAGGGGGATCACCAAGCCGCACCCCGCTTACTTCTATCCAGTGTGAACGCAAACCAGTGCCCATGTCCCATCGAGATTTCCATAGCCCCACTTTTTTCTTTTTCTATCTTTCCTTTCAATATGTCTTTATCGTTTTCCTCCTCCTTCTTTGTCCTCTTTCCCTATCTACTCCATTTCTTTATTCTTTATATATTCTTATTTTTTGGGGAGGATCGTTTTCACATGAGTAAGCACATCGAGGCCTTTGCAATTGAAAGGCCCCATCTTAATGGTCAAAAAGGGACAACTAGAAGGAGCCAAGTTTGCCAATATCAAGGGGAACATGGCCCCACTCTGGACTTGGAAGGGCCAGACCCTCATTAATTATGTGGGTGGCCCCTCTTCAACACAGGAAAAAAAAAAAAAAAGAAAAGAAAAGAAAAAAAAAACAACCTTTTTTTATATGGAACCCCACTGGGTAATTCTCAAATGCTATAGATCCTATGTTTCTAGTTTTCTGGTTCCTTTTTCACTTTTCCCACTTTTTTTTCTTTGTTTTTCCTCCCTGCTTTCGGTTCAAGGACGGGTGACCGTAGAGCTGACGAACACCCCAAAGGTACAAAATAGAAGACATGGGAAGCCGTGCCCATTCCTTTTCTGCACGCTTGGGATGGATGGATGAACAGAATCCTTCATATAATGGATGGTGGGCCACAGGTGGGTGAACCTCCATCCATCCAACTACCCTTCTTATAGTTGCACAGAATGTCTCCTACTTGTAAAAGTGTACTTATCCAGCGCAAATTGCTTTAGTTTCCCAATGCAAGTGCATTACCAGTGTCATATCTCAATCAAACTCATTATCAATTGCATATCTGATGTGAACACACAAATGAGATGAATCACTGTGAGAACATTCACCACCAACGATACGTAAAACTCATCCGTCGTCTGCCGCGCACCTGAAGCCGACTCATGGCGTACTACCCGATGCCGTTTTTTTCTTGTTGTTGTTGTTGTTGTTCTGTTTTTTTCCAGTGATTGCCATCCAAAAAGGACTGGAGGGCATGAATTTCGACACGCACCCACCAAAACGTTAACGAAATATCCTTTCGCACCCAGGAAAACACTGAGAGGAAATATAAGGGGAAGTGGGGGGGGGGTATTCGCAGCGCCAGTTGTAGTAGCTCTTTGAAGTCCAACGGAAAGCAGCACAAAAAAAAAAAACTCTTTTTTCCGCAATCAAGTCATCATCTCTTCTGTTCGAATCTGTGCGGCGCGTCTTGCACATGCGCCCCTCCAGGGACTCCGCCGCGGCTCTGACTGCACTGCACTGCACTGGATCTTTTACACTCCACACCTCATAACCGTTCCAGAGAGTGACCAGAGCGTGTTGATGACGATGATTCCAGCATTCTCATTTGTGGTCTCGCTGTAAACTGAGACCTCCGACGACTGCTCAGTTGGGTCAACCTTCCGCCACTGAAGGGTTAAGTCCTCTCCTGTTGTTGTGCAGTGTCAGTCCGCCCAGGAAACTGTGCAAAAACCCTGCAACTCCCTCACTCACTCACTCTCACTCATTTGTGGACAATTCGACGAACGGACAGATGGACGGACTGCCTGACGGACGGACTGACTGCCTGACTTCCTGACTGACTGAATGGGTGCAGTAGTTGCACAGAAGGGCTGCCTCCACGTGACATACAGTAAGTACCGCAGCAACAGAAGCATCAGAAGCAGTAACAGCAGCATTTGCAGCACCATTAGCACCAAAGACGGGGGAGTGGGCTCTCTCTGATGGGTCCAGATCCCGAGAAAACTCGAACCAGATCGATCGATAGATCGAGACAGAGAAAGAGAGAAAGTGGGCTCGTATTTCCAGAAGCAGATTCCAAGCGGTAAAAGAGGCGCTGCTGCTGTTCACCCTTTAAGATCCACGTAGGATTCCACCTAGGATTCCACGTAGGTTGCCACGTGGTACCTTGGTTGATGGCCGGGTCGGGCCGGGCTGGGTTGGGCTACGGTGGCCCCGTCCTTTGGCTGACCCCCCCCCCAGGCAGGTCCGACAGACTTCTTCTTCTCACCCCTTCCCTGTGTGTGACCCTACTCCCACCCTTGTCTCTCTCTCCATATATATGATTATTATTATTATTATTATTATTTGCGTACATGATTGAAGTTTTTCACAAAAAATTATACGTGTGAGTGAAATTTGATCTGATATGATAAACATTTTAAGATTTTTACAAGGTGGATTGTGTGTAGGTAAAGAGTTAGTTAGGATGAAAACTCGGTTGGTAGTTAAAGTTTAAAAAAATTGGTGTTTATTTGTAATTATTTGTAATTATTTGTAATTATTTGTAATTATTTTTAATAATTTTGGCTTTAAATGTATAAATGTAATTATAATTATTAAAAACTTATGGCTGATTTTTTTTTAATGTGAAGTAATCTATTTAATACAAAATATATATTTAAAAAAATCTACGAGTAAAAAAATAAATAAAACCATCATTGGTTGATTTACGTGAGGAATAAAAACATTAATGTATCATTTTTTTAACAACTAAGTAATTAAAATAAATTTTAATTTCTTAAAAATAGTTTACAACTATAATGTTGTATCTTTAATATAGGTATATATAAACTTATATATTTGTAGTGCTTTTAGTTGAGTTATATTCATATTTAATTTTTTTATTTTCATATTTTTAAAATAAAAAATATTCAATAACTATATATCTGTAAATATTGCTTATTGTTTTAAAAAAAAACTTGCTCCACAAAGATTCTTTTAATGCAAAAATTAAACATGCAATGAAAATAAATTACAAACACAAAAGAAATATAGATTAATTACAAACTCAAGTTTTATAAAAGTTGAATGGAGAGGAAAATAGAAAATTTAGGTATATATCAATTAATTATTTAATTCACTTAAAAATTATAATTTTAAAAAATTAAACATAAAAATTAGATGAAAAATTAATGGTGAAAAAAAAAAAACAAAAAACAAAACAAAAAAACATAGTGGCTTGTTTTACATTTTAAAGTTTTTAATCATACATGTAATTGATATGAACATTAAAATAATTTTTTCTCTTCTAAATTATTAAAGTAATAAATTTGAGTATAAAAAAATAAACTAATATCTTTAAATTTTTTATAATACTATTTATAGTATTATAGTAAATATAATTACTAGATATTTATTTTTTATCATAAAGTAATTTCATATTAATTTATTTTTAAAAAAAATACTATGTATATAGTTGTATATTTGTATAGGTGAATTGAAGGGCATTTTAAAGACATGCATACAAGCTAAAGTCAAAAGATGGATAAGTAGGTTTTCTTTTTTACATCTACTAACAATTTATATATAAAGAGATAATTTTTTTCCTAATGTAGATTTACAAAAGCCATTTATTGGTATTGTGTAGCTATTAGAGCTCATTAATTTCACTAGATCTCAACACTCATAATCAAACCTAAATCCAATGCAATCCAATATTAGAGCTCTACCACCCTTAGATTGTCAAGGATTAGCAAATTTTTGGAACATGTTCCTTAGTATCTATAAAAATGGATCTATTCATGTGACTTCACTTCACTTATTCTTTTTATAATATTTTTTGTTATTTGAGGTAGTAATTTTAGTAACTAATATGTTAATTTTAACATTATTATATTATCAAGAATAAATTAGTATTTTTAAAATTAAAAACTATTAAAAAAATAAAAACTTAGGTTTTAATATTCTACAATTAATACAAACTTAAGAATCATATGTATTTCAATTATGATCCATATTTCATTCGAAATCAAAGAAATTTTAAAAATAAACAATGTATTATATAGACTCAAGATCTTTCTTCTACCTATTAATGAATATAATCTAGATATTATATTTAAAGAAAGATTAACATCTAAAAAAACATATCATTTTTTTTTAAAGTTGACTATTATTGATTTATCTAACATTAATCCAATCTATTCTAAATCTTAATATTAAGTTCACTAGGTAATACAAGTGCCATTGTTTATTTAGAAGTAGGTTCTTTTATAATTTTCTTTACATTAATTGCACCTCACTCTCCTACATATTAAAATGTGCAACATGTTTTTGGTTTAATAATAGGCTTGAAAATTGAAGAAATAAAATAAACAAAGGTAAAAAGAAAAAGAAAAATAAGAAAAAACTGAAGTCCAACTCAACATCAGAGATCCCTTCAACTGTGAAATCGAGCCTGACTTTCCAACCTAACTCTGATTCACGCACTCTCACTGCAACCAATCCAACAACGCAGTGTGGATCCACCCTACTGCTCATCATCGGGGATGCCAGAATGTGTCAGAAAATTGATACACACCGTCGTGGTCGCACTGCTATGATGATGATAGATAGATAGATAGAAAATGGAGCCTGCTGTACTGTAGCAGCAGATAAGAGAAGAGAAAAGAAAAAAACAGCACAAAGGGTACTCTCCAACTTCCTTGCAACAAAACAAAACACGCACACGAAACTCGACAGTAGCATGCATGCTGCTACACCGGTG